AGGAAATTTTTATGGTATAATGTTTTAATTTATTAATTTTGGCTTACATACTGTGGATTTCTGTTTATTTTGCTTATATGATGGTTTTTTGTTGTATTTCTATGTTATGCAATTTTGTCATTTTTAACCATTTTGAATCCTACCCATGGGAGAAAAGTAGGATAAAAATGAGTAAGTAATATTAACAATATATATACACATACACACCCACATACACTCATGCACCCAGGGGTGGGTCAAAAAGTAATGCCTCCATGGCTCTAACTTCTATTTCTTTCCCAGCTCCTAGACTATGCATGATATGATAGAGGGAACCTTACTCTACTGATAGTCTTTTCTTGTTCCAATTGATCAATTAGAACCATGAATCTGAACCTAAAAGAAAGTCATTATTGAATTTCCAGCCAAAGGAGGTTGTGCACCTAAGAAAATCGCTTAAATAATTTTATTTATTTATTTATTTACTAACTATTCTCAGCCCTAAGGCGACTCATGACGGTTTACAACAATCAACCAAGAACAAGGCAAACAATCAGGCAAAAATTCAATGCGGCATCAACAAGATACTTAAAAACAATTAACACAGAAACAAATTAAACAATTTAACAGTAATAAACATTCAAGTGGCGTCTCATAACTAGAATCATGATCCAAACTCGTCTAATAATGGTTATGAGGACGTTGTAATGGACATCAGCAATGTGCAACCTCTGAAAGACAACCTACATGGGTTGTTGTAGGTTTTTTGGGCTGTATGGCCATGTTCTAGAAGCATTCCCTCCATAGATGCAGGCAAAACTTCAGGAGAGAATGCTAGAACGTGGCCATACAGCCCAAAAAACCTACAACCCAGTGATTCTGGCCATAAAAAAGCCTTTGACAATACAACCTACATGGTTCCAGATTCAATTATTTGAATGGCTTTAAAACAGCTTTAAAACCATGGGTCACGAAGCAAAACCCTGAATTTCTCCAGAATGGGTAAAACAATGGCACAGATGTGTTCAAATGTATGGTGACTCTATTAAATAGTGTTTTTGCATACAGGACAGTTCAGGCTATGATCTGGAGCCACTTCTTCTGTTATAGGTTCATTCATAAGGTTTTTAATCACACTTGAGGCAAAAAAAGTGACCCCTCCCCGTGTATAATATATATATATATATATATACACACACACACACACACACAGTGAACTATATATAATTAAAGGTCAAGGTTTCCCCTGACATTAAGTCCAGTCATGTCCGGTTCTCATCTCCATTTCTAAGCTGAAGAGCCGGTGTTGTCCATAGGCACCTCCAAGGTCATGTGGCCGGCATGACTGCATGGTGCGCTGTTACCTTCCCACCAGATCAATACCTTCGTGATCGTCTCTCTCTCCATGAACCAGCCCGAACTTTTCGATATTCGGGAGAGGCCCTCCTTTTGCACTTGCCAGTTTCTCAGGCTCGCCTTGTGGGTACAAGGGAGAGCGCCTTTTCCTCTGTGGCGCCCGACTCTGGAACTCATTGCCCGGAGAGATTAGGAAAGCCCCTACTTTAGAAACCTTTAAAAAGAATCTCAAGACCTGGCTCTGCCTGGTCAGGATTCAAAGACTTTATTTCAACAAGGGGAATCCCCTTAATGATAGACCTGTCCAGCATATGAGTAAGACATATAAGAAGCGACACTGGTACAAAGAACTGAAGACACCATGACGAAGAATTCTTTCCTTTCTCTAATATTCTCAGAAGACTTTGGGAAGTCGCACCACGAGCACGAATGGACTGGGTGGTTGGGCACAGTTGTTTGTTTTTTTCTTTTTTCTTCTCTCTCTCTCTTCTCCTTTCTTTTCCTCTCTTATCACTAATATATATATTACATCTTTTAGCTCTTTGGTAACTTTCCTACTTTTCTATAGTGCTACCTTGAGTGCACATTTTTGTTTTCCTCCACTTTCGCTGTAAAGTTTATAAAACTAAAAAAAAGAAAGAAAAAAGAAGACCTGGATCTGCTGTTGCGCTTTTGGAGAGTAGTCACATAATCTTATACTATTGCTCTCTCAACATTATTGTCCTAGGAGTACACCCCCCTTGTACGAAGGTTTGTTTATTTCCCCGTCTCTCTACGAGTTCTCCCTTACAAATAGTTCTGCCCCTTTATCTCTCCCTGAGTTTTTAAATCATTTTATCTATATGTGGCCCGCTCACTGTCATTATGTTTGGTTTACTTTTTTTAATGTTTTGTGTACATTATTTATATGCTTATATATTTTATACTTCAATGTTATGTTGTTTATTTTATTGCAATGTGTATCTTACTGTATTGTAATTTGTTGTTCGGGCTTGGCCTCATGTAAGCCACTCCGAGTCCCCGTTGGGGGAGATGGTGGCAGGGTATAAATAAAGTTTATTATTATTACTCACATTTAATAATAATAAACTTTATTTATACCCCACCACTATCTCCCCAAAGGGGACTCAGGGTGGCGAACATGAGGCCAAGGCCAAATTACAACAAATAAAATACAAACACAGCAAAATAAAATACAAAGAAGCAAAAATACCATCAAAATAAATACATAATGAAATAAAATAAAGAGTTCCAAAATGACATGAAAGAGACATGGGACCCAGTGGGTGGGTCAAATGTACTAGAAATAAAATTGATAAAACCCTGGATGAGATAGGTAGAATATGTTTCTAAGGGAGAATGTGTTTCTGAGAGGGGAACCCAAAAGGGCCAAACAGTGGGGTTAAACCTTCATTAGGGGAAGGGGGCAAGTGCATCATGAGGACGGAGCTGTAGTAGAGACAGACTAAAAGTGGAATATATATTAATTCACCAAAGGCACATTGGAAGAGCCAGAGTTTAAGGCTTTCTTAAAAGCTGCCAGGGTGCGGGCTTGCCTAATCTCACCAGGTAGCATGTTTCCAAACTGCTAGGTCGGCAGTGTGTGTGTGTGTGTATAATGTAATATTTGTTTTTGGGATTAACGTAACTCAAAACCACTGGATGAACTGACACCAAATTTGGACACAATATGCCTATCAGGCCAACAAGTCACCATCACTCAAAAAATTGATTTTGTCATTTGGGAGTTGTAGTTGCTGGGATTTATAGCTCACCTATAATCAAAGAGCATTCTGAACTCCATCAATGATGGAATAGAACCAAACATGGCACACAGGACTCCCATGACCAAAAGAAAACACTAGAAGGTGTTGGTGGGCACTGACCTTGAGTTTGGGACTTGTAGTTCACCTATATCCAGAGAGCACAGTGGACTCAAACAATAATGGATCTGGACCAAACTTGGCACAAATATTCCATATGCCCAAATATATACACAGATGGGGTTTGGGGGAAACAGACCTTGACATTTGGGAGGAGTACTTACTGCGATTTATAGTTCACCTACAATCAAAGAGCATTTTGAACCCCACCAACAACAGAATTGGGGCAAACTTCCCACACAGAACCCCCATGACCAACAGAAAATACTTAAGGCCATCTAGTCCAACTCCCTTCACTAGACCAAGAAAACGTAATCAAAGCCCTCCTCACAAAGAGCCATCCAGCCATAGATATAGATCAGGGGTCCTCAAACTAAGGCCCGGGGGCCGGATGCGGCCCTCCAAGGTCATTTACCCGGCCCTTGCTCAGGGTCAACCTAAGTCTGAAACTACTTGAAAGCACACCACCACCACAACAACAATCCTATCTCATCAGCCAAAAGCAAGCCCACACTTCCCATTGAGATACTAATAAGTTTATATTTGCTTAATTGTTCTTCATTTTAATTATTGTATTGTTTTTAAGAGTTTTTTGCACTACAAATAAAAGATGTGCCGTGTGCATAGGAATTCATTTTTTTTCAAATTATAATCCGGCCCTCCAACAGTTTGAGGAACTGTGACCTGGCCCTCTGTTTAAAAAGTTTGAGGACACCTGATATAGATAGATATGATTCACACACACACCGGGATTGTGGCACAGCTGGCTGAGTGTCAGCTGCATTAAGATCACTCTGACCAAAAGGTCATGAGTTCGAAGCCAGTCCGGGTTGGAGTGGGTTTCCAACCAATTGTGTGTAGCCTGTTGTCGACCTTTGCAACCCGAAAGACAGTTACATCTGTCAAGTAGGAAAATTAGGTACCACCTTAAAGTGTGAGGAGGCTAAATTAACTGATTTATGAGGCCATAAAGAAGACTCCCAGCAAAGCATTCCAGTGGGGAATGCGGAAGTGCTTTGTCAGCGTCACAGATGGACACTGAAAGTGACAGCTCCCCTGGCGGCCAGAAAAAGTTAAATAGCATCTGTGTATGTCTGTATATGTTTGTATGTCAAAAATTGGCATTGAATGTTTGCCATATATGTGTACACTGTAATCCGCCCTGAGTCTCCTGTGGGGTGAGAAAGGCGGAATATAAAAGCTGTAAATAAATAAATAAATAAATCATAGAATCAGAGTTGGAAGAGACCTCATGGGCCATCCAGTCCAACCCCATTCTGCCAAGAAGCAGGAATATTGCATTCAAATCACCCCTGAGAGATGGCCATCCAGCCTCTGTTTAAAAGCTTCCAAAGAAGGAGCCTCCACCACACTCCGGGGCAGAGAGTTCCACTGCTGAACAGCTCTCACGGTCAGGAAGTTCTTCCTCATGTTCAGATGGAATCTCCTCTCTTGTAGTTTGAAGTATCATAGTATCCTAGATTTGAAAGGGACCCCTAAAGGAGGACAATGATATGTTGCATGTTCCAGAGTAGGCAAACCAGACAATCTCCACATCAACACTGGCAAAGAAACAGCAAGAAATACTGTTTACCCACAAGCATAAAGGCATTACATATATTAGAAACCAACACTTTCTCATTACTTTATTTTCCAGATCAACAGACTGGGCCACAGCAACGCGTGGCAGGGGACGGCTAGTATATATAATTATGTATACAATATATATATAACATAACCTAAATGCAGATTCTATGTAGGGCTGTGGGTGTTTCTGCTCACCACGGAGTCGCTCCTGCTGGGCCTGGGGGGCGTGGCCGTTGAGCACGTGGTCGCGGAGCTCATGCAGGGCGGCGCTGAGGCCGGTTCCTGTTCCGGGGCGGGCGTGGTCCGGCTTGGCCCCGCCCTGCGGGAGGAGGAGCCTGGCCTCTTGGAGGAGGAGGCGCCGGGCCTCTTCGTGCTGGCTTTGCCGGGCCTGCCGTTCCTCCTCGAGAGCGCGGTGGTGGAGGAGGAGCTGCTGGGCGGCGGTGCGGCTCTGCTGGGCGGCGGCAGCGAGGGCACTGGTGCGGGCTTGGGCCTCCCTCTTGGCGCTGGCCTCTTCGTCCAGGCGGGCGCGGAGCTGGGCGGCCTCGTCGTGGAGGCGGGCGCGCTCCAGGACCAGGCGGCGGGCCTCGGCTTGCTGGTCGGCCAGAGCCTGGCGCATGTCGCAGGCCTCCCTGGCAAAGAGCTCGGCCAAGGCCCGCCGCCCGGCTCCGCGGGACCTCAGCTCGGCCGCCTCCGCCTCCAGCGCCCGGCCCCGCTCCTCCTCCGCACGCACCCGCGCCAGGAAGCCCGCCAGTCGCCCATTCAGCGAGCCCAGCGCCTCCTCCTCCGACATGGAGACCCCCGACGAGGAGGAGGAGGACGCGGGAGGAGAAGAGGCCCAGAGCCCGCTCGCCGGGGAGCCCGGCCAAACCCAACCCAACATCATGCCAGCGACTCACAGACTGCGGCACCTTCGCCAGGGACGCGCTTTTAGAGGCCGAAGGAGGGGAGGGGGCGGGGCCATCCCAGCTCAAAAAAAAGGGGTGGGGAAACCGAGGGAGGGAACCTTCGGAGCCGCAGAATAGGGGGAGGAACACACACAGGCAGGCCTTTTCTATGGATGGGGAATGGAGCCCCCGGTGGCGCAGTGGGTTAAAGCACTGTGCTGGCAGGACTGAAGACCTGCAGGTTCAAATCCGGGGAGAGGCGGATGAGCTCCCTCTATTAGCTCCAGCTCCTCATGCGGGGACATGAGAGAAGCCTCCCACAAGGATGATAAAACATCAAAAATCATCCGATGTCCCCTGAGCAACGTCCTTGCAGACGGCCAATTCTCTCACAACAGGAGCAGTTGCTCCTGACACGACAATCTATCAATCTATGGATGTGGAACACATCTCACCACGCTAAAACAGTAAATAAATGTGGCTCTTAATGAAACATGCCACATTATCACAGGGTGTCTGCGCTCTACACCACTGGAGAAGTTACACTGTCTAGCCGGTATTGCACCACCTGACATCCACCGAGAAGTAGCAGCCAATAGTGAAAGGACCAAGGCAGAGACATCTCCAGCTCATCCCTTGTTTGGGTATCAGCCAGCACATCAAAACTTAAATCAAGAAATAGTTTTCTAAGATCTACAGAGACACTTGCTGGAACACCTCAGCAAGCGAGAGTCCAAAAGTGGCAGGCTCAAACCCAGATCTTCAAACAATGGCTGATACCAAATGAGAGACTCCCCCCTGGGCACACAAGACTTGGAAGGCGCTGAACAGACTGCGCTCTGGCACCACGAGATGCAGAGCCAACCTTCAGAAATGGGCTACAAAGTGGAATCCTCGACATGCGAGTGTGGAGAGGAGCAAACCACTGACCACCTGCTGCAATGCAACCTGAGCCCTGCCACATGCACAATGGAGGACCTTCTTGCAGCAACACCAGAAGCACTCCAAGTGGCCAGCTACTGGTCAAAGGACATTTAATCAACTACCAAGCTTGCAAACTTTGTGTTTTGTTTGTTTGTTTGTTAAAAAATGCAATGCAACTGTTTGGTCTGCCCCTGACACGATAAATAAATATATGGAGAGGGCTGGTTGACCATTCGGGGCCCAAAAGCGGGGGAACCAAGGCTCTAATACGGAGAGGGAAGGACCATTCGGAGGCAAAAAGAGTGGGGAAACGGACAGGGCTTTTCTATAATAATAATAATAATAACAACAACAATACTCCTGACCTCACAATCGTGTTAAAAAACAAAGTATGGATCGTTGATGTTGCAATCCCAGGTGACAGCAGGATTGAAGAGAAACAACTGGAAAAGCTGACACGATACGAGGATTTAAAGATCCAACTGCAAAGACTCTGGCACAAGCCGGTCAAAGTGGTCCCAGTGGTAATTGACACACTGGGTGCAGTGCCTAAAGACCTTGGCCTGCACTTAAACACAATTGGCGCTGACAAAATGACCATCTGCCAACTGCAGAAGGCCACCTTACTGGGATCTGCACGCATTATTTGCCTATACATCACACAGTCCTAGACACTTGGGAAGTGTCCGACGTGTGATCCAATACAGCCAGCAGAGTGACCTTGTTTGCTATGTACTAATCTTGTGTTTAAAATAATAATAATAATAATTACTGGGATCTGCATGCATTATTCGGCGATACATCACACAGGGAAAGGGCTTGGATACTGAGGAAACCCTTTGGAGTGGAAATTGTTATCTGTGTTTGCTCATTGGTAAGGACTTTCAGTGAGCTTGCCCACATGCACACACACCTCCCCCCCCCCTTCCTTCAAAGGTGCCACATTTGTAAAAAGTCAAGTCTTCCTGCTCAGTAATTTTTTTTAAAAAACCCCAAACCCATCCAATCCCTTCTGGTGACTTTCAGGGGGGTGCATTTTTTCCAGAAGCCTGATTCTTAAGGCATTTGGGAGCAAACCCAGAGAGAGGAGACTTGACGTCAGCATCTATCCAAACTGTCTTCTGGCTGGTTGGCTGAGTTCTTTAGAGGATAGAAGAGCGGTGTCCCGACCCCTGTGAAAGGGTTGTTCAACACCTCCCAAAGGGGTCGCGACCCACAGGTTGAGAACCAGACCTCACAACCTCTGAGGATGCCTGCCATAGATGTAGGCGAAACATCAGAAGGGAATGCTTCTGGAACATGGCCACACAGCCCAAAAAACTTACAGGAACCCAGTGATTCTGACCATGAAAGCCTTCGACAAAGGCAAATAGAGGGGGCACCTACAAGGATTTTCTGGTTTTTCTAGGCAAAGGGAGGGACAATTCTGAGCCGCAGAATAGGGGGGATGGACGGGGGACCATTCAGAGTGCAAAAAGAGGGGAGGGAAAAGGAGGGTGGAAACTGGCAGGGCTTTTCTTTGGAGGGTGAGGGACCATTCAGAGCCCAAAAAGAAGGGAGGGGGCCCGTGGCTCTAATATGGGAAGGGAGGGACCATTTGAAGACAAAAGTGGGGGATGGACGGACGGACCTTTATGTAATAATAAGACATCGCCTGAGCCACTTTGGGTCTGGATCATCATCATCATCATTATATTCTGCTTTTCTCCCTAAACGGGTCCCAAAGCAGCTCACAACACTTTGAAACAATACTAATAATAATAATTAGGCATATCCTGAGCTACTTTGTGTCTAGATCCAAATAATAATAATAAGAAGAGAGCCTGAGCAACTTTCAATCTGGATCTAAATAATAATACATAGCCTGAGCCACTTTCGCTCTGGATCTAAAGAAAATAATAATAATAATAATAATAATAATAATAATAATAATAATAATAATAGCAGTAGTAGTACATAGCTTGATCCAGCTGAGATGTGGATCCAAATATAGAGTGTACCTAACCATGGGCTTTAGGATCCTATTGGGGGGTGGGGAGGATGCTTCTGGGCTTTGCTGCGTGAGCATTGCCAGCCTCTCAGTGGCCCCAGTGTGCCACTGCGGCATGACACAAGACCCGATCCTGGCTGCAGTCAGCCAGCCTGACAAGTCGGCAGATTTGGTGGCAGCAGAGCCTCCTCTGCCCAGCACTGCTCTTTTTCTGGAAGGAGCCTTCTCTTGGCAGCGACTGGCTTCCAAATAGAGCTGTCTTTGCCAGAAGAAGCCAAGGCCAGAGCGGCTTGGGCCTTGAGGACTTTAGGGGTCAAGAGGGATTGCCAATGTAAAGGCAAGTCAGAGAAGAGAGAGGGAGAGAGAACTGAAGACAGAGAGAGAGCGATGGAGATAGACACTGGAGAGAGAGAACTGGAGATAGATACAATAGATAGAGATTGAGATAGATCTGGAGATGGAGATACATAGGTAGATAGATACTGGGGGGGGGGGAACTGTAGATGGAGCTAGATAGACAGATACTATAGATAGATGATACATAGATCTGTAGATAGAGATGGAGATAGATACTGGAGAGAGAACCGTAGATAGAGAGATGGAGATAGATAGATAGATAGATACTATAGACAGATAGGTAGATAGAGCCAGGGATAGATAGACAGACAGACAGACAGACAGACAGACAGACAGACAGACAGACAGACAGATAGATAGATAGATAGATAGATGCTGGAGAAAGAGAGAGGAACCTTCCACACAGCCATATATCCCAGAATATAAAGGCAGAATAGCACAATATCTGCTTTGAACTACCACATATCCCAGTTCAAAGCAGATAATGTGGGATTTTACTCAGCTGTATGGAAGGGGCCAGAGAGAGAACTGTAGACAGATAGATGGAGATAGATAAATAGACAGATCTGTGGATAGAACTGTATAGATAGATAGATATAGACAGATACTATATATAGAGAGAGAGATCTGTAGATAGACATGGAGATAGATAGTGGAGAGAGAGAAGATATATAGATGGAGATAGAGGAACAGATAGATCTATAGATGGAGATAGACAGATACTAAGATAGAGAAATAGATCTATAGATAGAGATGGAGATAGATACTATAGATAGAGAACTGTAGATAGATTTGTAGATATATAGAATTGTAGCTGGATTAGATGAATGGATGGATAGATAGGCAGAGGGAGGGAGGTTTGCCTTTCCTTTCCTCTCTCTCCCCATTCCTCAGCCAATGTGCTGTCTCTTGGCCTAGAGATGCAGCATTGCATGCCTTGCGGTCTCTCTCTTTTCCTTTCCCCCCTTCATACGCTCCTTCTTTGTGTGTGTCTGTGGCCTGGATGTACCCTCTTTACCTGAAATCACCCTGAAAGGGCTCATCTGCCGCAGGGTTGATGCTTAATTCATAGGCATGCAGGAAAAAAAGAAAGAACAAACAAAAAGGAGTAAGGAATAGTGATAGATAGATAGAAGGGGAGGGGAGGGGAGGGAAGGAAGGAAGGACAACTAAAGTAAGGAAAGAAGGAAGGGAAAGCAAGAAATAGGAAGGAAGGAAAGAGAGAATAGGGTTAGTGGATAGAGACAGATAACTAGATGAATAGACAAATAGACTGAAAAGGTGTTGTCGAGCCACAGCTCCCCCCCCCCCCAATGATTTATAGATCATAAAGAGACTCCAAGTAATAGATATGATTTTATTTATTTTTAAAACATTTTTCACGGCTCCAAAATTGCAAAATGCCAAAGCCACTAACAGCAGCTGTTCCCTAAAAACTCTTATTGGCGCGAACTCTTCATTGCGTGTATAGACTTGATGATTTATGTGTCGCTCATATCATTTATGTAGTGTGTCGATTCTTAAATGTACAAACTGTATCAAATGTCTGCATCAAAGTGTATCTAGAAGGCAGCGACTTCTCTGCAACCTCGGTTTGCAGAATCCCTTGGGAATGGAGCTCATGGCCAGGATCCCTCCAGCTCTTTCCCAAGCCAGATCAATATCAAAACCTTTGTGTGTCTGCAGACAGGCGAGCCTCTTTGTCACCAGGATGAGCTCAGGTTGTTTATTAATTTTGCTTGAGGTTGAGAGTCTGCTGCTCTCA